GGTTTTTTTTTGTGTTTTTACTTTTGGTAATTTGGTTATTTTAAAAAAAAAAAAAAAAAACAACAACAAACCAGCAACAAAGCCACCGCAGAAAGCCAGATCCACTGTATCGTCCCTCTCCTCCAGGGCACGCAGGAGCCTGCAGTTCCTCCCAGCCTGTGCGGTTCTGAGTCTGCCATACAGTGTCAACACAGTGCAGCAGAACCAACGTGGAACAAATTGCAACATAAGACAAGTTTCTGTATCTGTGTATCCATCTGTAAATGTGAATTTTTCTTTTACTAATCATTACAGAAGTTGCAGGCTTCCTGTGCAGCAGGGCTTCGCTGCGCTAGCCCTCAGTGGGGATTTTGCTGGCTGTCCCCAACCTCGCAGAGACAGGAATGTGACAACGCAGGCTGAGTGCGAAAAACAGCGTGTAGGAGAAGGTCGCGTTGTGCTTTACAAGGCCATGTTTGTCTGTTTTCCAGCATAAAACAGCTAAACAATGATGAGCAATCTTGTTTTGTACAATACTGCTCTTTTAAACCTCCATTGTGCTGTATGGGTGCTCGCACACTTGGTCGTCTGCTAGAAAATTTTTAGTTGAGGTCCTGACCGGTTTAAAAGCATCGGAGCGACCTCTGGGTCAGCTCTTTGGTCTGCCGTGTAACCTCTGCGTTCAGCATCAGGACAGGGTCTTCGGGATCTTTGGGGCCTTTGCGTACTGTGTCTTGCAGGCGGTGAAACTGCCTTGAGCATCTGAAAACGTGTATGGAAGCCTGAAGGTACCGCGTGGGATTCCTGTTGCGGGGAGGACCTAAGAGGAGGCACAGGAGGAGAGACAGACAGGGGTGAGGACAGGATGGGACAGGAGGGATCTTTATTCCCTCGAAGTATTTCGTGCTGTCCCTAGCTCTGATATTATTCAAACTCCAGCAAACCATTCAAAATAATTGGCTGCCTCGAGGTGTGCTGCCGCTCCTGATGCTTTGTCATTTTAAAGTGCTATGGATTTTCAAAGTGAACTCGCTGTTACTGCAAAGACATTTTTCCTGTTCTCAGCTGAAAACAACATGTGCGTATGAACACAGATACGAGGGCTTTCCTCTTCAGTGGCATGTATGCTTTATTAAGTGTAGTGATTGCCATGTGTGCTCAACGTCTGCTTGTTGCTGGATAGAGAGATGCGCTCAAAGTGCCCATAGCTAGTCCTTCCGCAGCAGAAGGATGCCTACCATTAGACAATGCTGCCCTGTTGTCTTGCTTAATGGATAAGGCAGAAGCTTTTTCTCTGAGCAGGGTATGTTTTCAGAAATGCTTTCTGGGTTGTGATGGGCTCTGCAGCACCCTAAATCTTTTCAAAAGAGACTGCATGTCATCTGGCTTATCGGAGCTCCTAATGGATTGATGCTTTAATTGCTCATGCTATACGAGACAGCATTACAAGTTATGGCTGGATAGAGAGCAATTCAGATCTGTGTATTTATGGTAGTTGGAAAAAAAATTATTTGCAACCTCCTTGAAGTCTTTATTTTTTTTTTCCTCTTCTGAAACCATAACAGCTAAAGGTTGATATTTTCTTCTGCTCTTTTCTTCAGCAAGCAGGAAGGCCGGGCCTGGCTGGCTGTTGTTTGTCGTGTCCAGGAGGAGGATGCATGTGAACTCTTCCTCCCTAAACAGGCTGGGGCACAGAAGCACCACGTTCACTAGTAATATTTTGTTAGCCTTTCCAGTCATCCAGCCACCTCGGCACATATCTTTCAGCAGTCTCAAGTGTAAGACCAGTCAGTGAGAAAGAGGGACTGATGATTTACCCTTGTTTGGTAGTTGCTGAATAAGCAGACCCATTGTTCCTTCTGCTTTACCCTTTTTCCCTAGCGTTTTTGGGATTGCTTCAAGCCTCAGTGTTTTTATCAAAGCTGAATTATACTAATTGATGAGAGAGGAAAATGGATGAGGGAGAAAATAAATAATAAATTGCAAGAAAAATGAATTCACAGAAGCCCAAAGTAAAAAGTCTGTGAAATATGAAACGAGTCTTTCATTGCCTTGAATAATATAATTATCTAGCAAAGCCTCTTCCCTTCAAATTGCCAAATCTGGTGTGCACTTGAACTCGTTGCATATGCTCCCACTTCACAAAGTTCCTGTATCTCCCAGAGGGGTCGTGAGGTTGAGGTTGGGTAACAGCGTGATAATTGGTCCTTGAATATTATGTGCAAATGTGAAGCCGTGGACATATGCGATATGCCCCAAATTATCAGCTTGCTGCTGTAAGCAGTAGGAAAATAAAGAAATTAAAGGGTCTTTTGGGTAGAGTTTTGGTGTGCAGGAAAAGATGGGGAATGCCTTCTTTCCTCTTCTCCTCTCACTTCCCTAAGACTACTAACATAATTTGGTTTTCGTTGTGTGGTCAGGCAGTCGGTTATACTTTCCCAGCTGCGACAAGAGCACGGATGCATCATAGTATTTAGTATTATCACATCTACCGCAGTTTCAACAAATATGAGCTGTCAGTCTGGAGCTTCATTGCACTTGGTGCGGTACAGGCATGAGTGTTCGTGTTGGCTTGTTGCACAATATTCTGTCAATATTGCACAATATTGCTGTCTATATTCTGATCTTCGATCAAAAATTTAACACAGAACCGGAAATTAAATACAAGAAGTGATACTTTTGTCTGTGCGTGGTTTTAAAAAATAGTCAAAAGCCAGACTTCTGAGGATAGCAAGGGTTGTTTTTAATTTATGGACTGCTTGTGTTATAGTAGTTCCCAGAAGCTTTAATCAGATCCTGAGTCCCATTTTCTAAGTAGAAGTCGCTGCTGCCAGGAGTTCGGTGTAACTACAAACACATCTTGGCTGGTGAACGTAGAGTGCAGAAATCGAGGGTGGTGTTAACAGAAGCACGAGAGACGACCGGGAAGGCAGCGAGATGGCTCGTGAGGGTAAACGCACATACCCGCTCGGACCGCGCCGTCTTCCTCAGCACAGGGCAGCGACCGAGCCGAGGAAAGTAAACCTTAATCTTGCTTGGTCTTCTGCTCTGACCGAACGTTGACATTCGTGTTCCTTGGCCCATGCTTACGGTATGTTACAGAATGCCAGTTTTCATTACTTACCTTGGACAGCTTTTTCTGTCCGTCTTGCTGCTATTTGCAGAATCACGCCTTGTTTTCAGTGCGATGCTGCAGTTCAGCATCCCATGAGTCACAGTCCTGGGGCTGCATCTTTCAGATAAGCCACTCGCTATTTGGCGTAACTTGCGAGCGACGGGATCGTGCGGATGTGATTGTACCACTCCATATCATTTGGCGTACAGGCAGTGATTAGCATTGAAGAGCAGCCTGGGGTAGCCTTGCAATATCAGCTACTTTGGTTAAGACTACTTTGTTCTGACCGCATTAAATAGGTCAGCGCTCAAACCTATACCACTAAAAGCCAGGATGGGAAACTGTGCATCGGGCATAGGTATCTATCTCTATTAAATTCCCTTACAGAGCTACCCTGAATCATATCCAGAGGACTTGAATAAATATATAGGTATGAGCCTGTGCACTTTTTGTTCACCGTGTCCCCATACAGATGATTTCTGCAATCCACCTACGTGCGTGGTGCTGATATCTGTCCCGTCGGTGATGTGTTCTGTGCCGTGTTCTCGTACACCTGTCGGTACGCAGGAACTGAAGGGGGAAATGACACGGTCAGAGGGGACGGGGGTGACGAACAGTGTCTGCTACTCTCGATGACAGCAGTAGTGGCTTTGCCTCAGGCTTCAGGCATGCCAGGATGTGGTGCGATCCTGTTGCAGCGTATTATGCCAGGTAGGACTAAAATCTTGGAAAGAAGCCCATTCCTACTGCAGTATATTATTTGTATTTATGGTTATGCCTTTTGATTTATTATTTGGAGAGCGTGATTACTTTTCCTTCTTTCTGCTGCTATTGAAGCTTTGTCGTCTGTAAGTTAAAAATGTGATGATCAGCATAAAGCATTTTACATCTCCAGAGTGTTTAGTGGACAATAAATGATAAGCTGTTCTTCTCTGCCACAAGGTTGGTCTGTCTTTGCAACTCCTGGTCTGTTTGGTTTTGGTTTTTTTTTTCTTTTTTTCATTGCTTTGAACAATGCAGGCTCTGGTATGGAGGACAGGCTATAATTTTAGGACTAGGGTATTTGACCATATGAATTCAGTCTCCCACTGATAGACTTCCCCTTCAGTTGCCGAACAGAGATGTGGGCTGGAACAGTAGGCTAGGCAGGGGTTCTCCTGCTACCCATTTGGCCTAGGTGTGATGAGTTGGCATGCTTTGCACTCTCGCTTTTGCTGAGGGAAGAAACGTTCTTATGCCTCCGTTGGTGATGTGTTTGGTAGCTGAAGTTTTAATCTTGCCCCCAAGATGGGGAGAGAGGAGTAGCTGGCAGCCCCGGAGCAGCCCGAGAGGTGTCTTTGGCGCACGCCTAGCCCCAAGTGCTGTGGCTGCCGAGTTCCCTGGTCTCTGCTACATCCCAAAGGAAGCAGAAGGAAGAGCAGCATGTCGAGCTTCCGAGCGAAGAAAAGCTTGTGCTGCTGCCAGCAGCTAATGCTAGTTTTCAGCCTGTTGGTGTTAGACTTGTTCCAGCTCCGGACCCCAAAGGCGGGTGTCTCTGCGGGCACCCGGCTGCTGGGAGGCGCGCTGCCCTGTCCAGCTCACCTCGGTGTGCAGCGTGGCCAGCTGTCCTGCGAAGGAATTTTCCTGGCCTGTTAAGATCATAGCTGTGTGTTAGCTTGTGTTAGGCGAATCCTGTTCCTGACATGGAGGAAACCTGTCCTCCCTAGTGGCCATGCTTATGGCCAAGTTTTGAGGATGTAACAAGAAGAGAGCATATGCTCATCAGTGGTTCATTGCCAGAAGTCTTCTAATGGCTATGTATTCACATCAATATTTAAGAATGTGTGAGTTTATACGGAGAGTAAGAATATTGACTCCCATGGTAGATTACATAGAATATGTGTCCCTGTGCTGCAGGGTATAAATCAACTTAAGGAAAAAAAATTGAAAGACATAATGCTGTAGAATGGCTCTTTTGGAACATGTATACAGTTACAGATTTTGGAGCTCTATAGAGATAAAAATATATAGATATAATGTCTTCAATTTGTTGCTGGAAATGTGATGACTTAGAAATTATTTGTTACACTGGCTATATAATACAATACAGCATACGTAGTCCAGCGCATTACTCCTTTCCCTTATTTAAAAACAGAAATAACGTCTCTCAGCAGTGGTCAGACATTGCCGTATATTCCTCCTACTGAGTACAGTACTGGGGCCGGATCCTTCTGCAGCTCTGCGTTATCCTGATCCTTTTGAAGTTCTCTTTTTTTTTTTTTTTTTACGATAGTGTTTTTGTGTAGTTATTTTTCCTAAGACATGCAAAATGCGTAGGTTAAAAAGTTAGACTACAATGCAAACTATATGCAGCTCTTCATGCTAAACTTTATATACTGACTTTTATAGCAGCCATTACCAGCTGATACATATATATATATATACAAATATATATAAAAAAGTATATACCTGCAGCCAGTGCAGAGCGTCAGGCTGGGGAGGGTGAAGCGCAGACCTCTCCTGTGCTAGGAGCAGACTAATGACCCCAACACAAATCAGTCAAATGCTGCATTGAACAGAACAGTATTCTGCAAGGCTGGAGTCTGGCTTAAGCAAAGGCCATCGTTCACCAGACAGACATATTAATTTATTAGTAAAAATTCCATTTGCTTGGGGAATGGCTCAATAAGGGCCATATATTTCCTCTTCAGCATTTGCCTTGAGTGGAAAGTTAGACCTAGACTTAGGATTTTGAGACCTTTGTAGGAGTTCCCTCCTATAGTGAAAGTTTACTTCACCTTTGGTATGAATGGCCAGTCGTACACACCTCCGTCGGTGGCGCTCCTTGAAGTCCAGGTTCAAGTCCTACTCTTGCTAGGCTTCTGGGTCAGGTGTGTGTTTGAGGGTTTGGAGAGAGGGGGATTGGTATTTCAGCTTCATCAGGAGTAAACATTCCCTTTACCTTACCTCAGCTGTTTGGCAGGATTAAACCCCCGTCTTTCAGTTCTCAAACATAACGATCAGCTGTGTAGGATGCTGGAGTCAGGTCGCTTTACGAAAAGAAGAGAGGAGCCACTGCAGACTTCAGATGTTGCTAGGCGTCCTGAAAAATGTCCCAGACAAAAAAAATCTAACTGTGGCAGTACCTTCTTTCCTCCGTTATAGGCTGTTGCGTTCTGCTGCTGCTTGTATGTGCTGTTTTCATTTCATATCACTGTATCGCTTTTGTGTTGCCCTGTTGAGGGCCTTTTAATACTGCGACTTTTACCACTTTTTGTTTCCCTCTTGAAGCACAGAACAAAGCTTTATGTGAGTGGCACCCACGGCAGGGAGGGAAGTACTTACACAATGGTACTGTATTTACAGGGAGGGGTAATTCTAACCAAGCTTTATAATACCTTAATTACATTTGATGTGACCCAGCCCTTGACAATCTTGAATCTAAGGTTGTCAAACAGGATTTAAACATCATAAAGATTTCTGGACAGTGCTCACAACTGAGCTGTATTTCACTGTGTCAGTAAGAAAGTGAGGAGATTCTCTGAAGGTGGAGAGAGTGGTTTTTCTTGGGAATTTTGTCTTTGGCTTAGTGCACCTGATCGGTAAAGCCAGGTTATTTCTCTGCTAAATTCTGCAGATTTTTTGTGCTAGCGACAATATGTAAAACCCACTCAAAGAAATTAAGAAACAAATATTTTAAAAGTATTTTATGAATCTGACTGGGGAGGGGGTTTCTATTTCTTACATATGTTTTCTTAGTGATATGAATTTAATTTCAGGGCTCAGCAGATTCGTACACAAGCAGACCCTCAGACTCTGATGTCTCTTTGGAAGAAGATAGGGAAGCAATCCGCCAAGAAAGAGAACAACAAGCAGCTATACAACTTGAAAGGGCAAAGGTGTGTTCTTTTCAACTTTAATAATAGCTAAGTTACGTGGCATTTATCGTTTGTCTAGGGTTAAAATTTGCACTGTTGGTTTATAAAGATGATGCTGTCTTTTGAAACAGTTTGGCAGTTGAGTCAAGTTATCTGCAGACAAGGTGTTTGGGGGAATATAGTGTAAATATTCTCCTATAAACGGGGATCTTCTCTAGTGAGCTGAGCTCTGCTGGCTTGTGTGAAATTATTAGTCTGAATTTTGATGTATTTGGCAAATGTCCTTTGCTAGGTTTTTGCTAATTTGATACAATTCTTGATTCAGAAAAGTTTCCACTGTTTGTCATGTGTGTTTCTATTTGTAGTCCAAACCAGTAGCGTTTGCTGTTAAGACTAATGTGAGTTACTGTGGAGCTCTGGATGAAGATGTTCCTGTCCCAAGCACTGCCATCTCGTTTGATGCCAAGGACTTCCTACACATCAAAGAGGTAAACCAAAGAAGTAATAAAAGGGAATGTGAAAGGGAATCTTCTTAGATGCCAAGGACTACGATTTGAACAGTCGGGGCTGAGCCGTACCAGGTTAAAAAGAGAGCCAAGAGCTGAGTGGAGGCAGGAGAGCACAGCACACGTCTGATTATTGATGATGTGGTGGCACTTCAGCCTTTTTAGAGTTGCAGCACCCTGGGGAGGTTATCTGGCACTTTTTTAGCGCTTGATGTTACCAACTTGTCGTTGGATTTTCATGTCACAGGAAGGAAATAACATCTTGCTAGGTTTTAAATACCCTTCAAGATGGTAGATTCAGATTCTTTTCATCAAATGAAGTTTGTGATGGATCAGAGATTACGGGAATCTCAGAATTCAGAAAGGGAATCTCAAAATCTCGGAAAGGGATTCTATTGATCAGGAAGTGGAGTAGCACCAGGTTACGCCAGGTCTTCATAAAGCACCAGATAGGCTTGTAGGGGAGGAAATAAGACTTAGAATAACAGAAAAAGAAAAGAAAATATTGAAGAGGACAGGTACAAAAACAAGGAAAAAGGAATGGGAATAAATGGGCCCTGAGTATGGCTTTGGTAGAGAAAAATACATTTTATTGCATGTTGAGCATATTTTCTGCTATTCTTTATCTGAAGTGAGCCCCCCTTTATCTGAAGTGAGCCCCCCCAGTTTGCATAAACCCCTCTTGTTTTGTAGATTTGTACATAGCCTTGCGGCTTGCGAAAACATTTTTTCATCTCTGCGTTCTGGGTTTATTTTAGGGTGTTCAGTACTCATTTGTCTCCTCCTTTGAACATGTGTCTGTGATCGCTTCAGAGCACTGATCTCCTTTAGACTGAGCACATTTAGGAGGAAAACACCTGCTTCTGCACCTCTAGAGGCAGAGATTGGTGGCACAACAGGGGGGGTTGCTTTAAATTCTTTCTCCCTGAGAAAGGCACAGGAGAGGCAGTTGATTCCCTTGTTCCATTTTCTCAATTTGCTGCAAACAGATGGAAGTTTGATTTGGATTTTTTTGGTTTGTTTCTTTTCTGTGTTTCTTTTTTTAATATTTGTGTGGAACAGTGCTTAAACCCCTGCTGAGGAAGTGGAGCACTGAATCTGAATCTGCCTGTCTCTGCATGCGGAACTGATTGCCCTCTTCGTGCCCCAGGAACGTGTTCTGTTCTGTCTAGCACCACACCTGAACTCCCTTGATGTACGCCACTTTCTAAACCTGCTTCCCATCAGGAGCGGGTCCTTTGCTAGCACTCAGAGTTGAATGCAGACAGCTGCATCCATTACAGCGCTCAGATCACTTTCTCAGCTACCTTTCCCAATGTTTTCCCACCCACACTAGAAACGCACCCTACCTGACATACTGTCTTTCTAGTGCACACGTTGTCCCGTGTAACCGTTCAGGTAACTCTGTGCGTCACCATTAAAGCAAGTATTTGATCTTGGCTTTCCTAGGGTGTGACTACCTTTATTGTCAGGCCAGTGATTGAATTTGATGTACTAAGCTCCTATCGTGCTGCCCTGAACATTTTTCCAGAGAAGTGTCCCAAGTCCATGTCTTGGCATTCTGTGAGTTTTCTTTCAAGATCTAAATGGCCAGGATCGCATTGCCACTAAACTGTAAGCCATCTGGCTTACTGGTATTTGTCAGCTCTGCTAAGGGTTTAGCAAAGTTTCTTTGTTAATGCTGAAACCTTCAGCTTGCCTGAAGCTGTGGCTGTAACTCAGCAGGATTTCAGGAATGGTTCCCCGTGCTGGAGTCTAGCTGCATGGAAGAAGGCTTTGCGGAATTTGTTTTTCAAGGATCTGGCAGGCTTGCTTGGACTAGAAGCAGCATGGTTCCAGATTTTAGAATAATGCTAAACTAGGTAAGAAGTAAGGTCGCCCTGCTGACAGGATGAAACATCAGCAGTAACTGATGAGTTGCTATATTGAGAATGTGTCCTGTATGTCTCATCTGTCTCCTACAAGCCTATACATTATGTGCTTACTTGAAAGATGAAGTGGCAACAATTACTGACAATGCAGAAGAAATCATGGGCATGGCAACCAATAGGAATGAACTGTAGTCCTCCCACATGCTGCATGCGAAGAATAACATATGGGAGGTGATGACCTAATGCAAATAGCCCTGCGTTCCTCGCTGCATCGTTACAATTTGTAGTGTTCAGATATTCTCAGCATAACGCTCATTCTGATCTCATGTCTAGAGGCATCGCTCAGAGGTCCATGACCTACTAATGGAAGAAAGATTCCCATGTTCAAGCCGTACATTTAGAACCAAAATAGAATGGGTAATGCTCACAGGACTCAGGTTTTACAGTGGTGTACATACATTGATGGATTTCACTGATTTACAACAGCAGAATGCTAGATCCTGAAGTATTTGTCTATTTTAAAGAATGACAGTAGTTCTGTCGACTTAAGCAGAAGCAACATATTTAAAATTAAGCTTTGTTTACTGAGATTGTCTGAATCAGGGTCGTAACAGCATGAAGAATAGATACTTAAAAAGTTGAACTGATAAAATAATGGAACCTTTTGCATAAATAACAGCTGTGTAAAGAGGACAGGTCTTCAAGATGAGGATTTAAGGACTGCATTTCCCTTAGCTGTATATGTTAATATTTGTCTGTATGTATGGGTTAATAAAAAAGCTAATGTATTTTTCAAAGATGTCGAGGCTCTGTATGTTTCAGAGACTTCAGTTAGGCGCTGTTGTACCTTTGACAACTAGGACGTGGTATTTATGTGCTTCTGCAAGAACTTAAGTGCTTGAGAATATGCAGCCAAGAGAACAGATCATTTTTAAGACAAGGTTTCTGTGATAACTTTTTCCTCAAGGCATGCAAACAAAATTGGTACGCTCGTGCTGGTCTTAATGACTTGAAAGTCGGTTGTGAAAGGTAATGTTTCTTTTGAACACTGAGGTGCCTAATGAAGCATAACAGAGTATAAGGTTTTCAGATATTTTTCTTCAAAAACTCTGCTGGCAGCCAGCTACAACAAATCCTTTTCCACTACAATATCCACTATGATATCGCTTTTCATCTTTCCATCATTAAAGTTAGGCCAGGCTTTCAATAATGCAGAAAAACTTATGTTACTAAAGGTTAATGATTAAATTTTATACTTTTAGGTATATCAATTTGAAAGGTTTCTTCCTAAAGGTGAATTTTTCTTCAACTGTCATAAATTCAGAAGTGTATGCCTCCAAAGAGTTTAACTACTTCTAGGCAGCGGCACTATAAAAGCCTCGTTTGTAGAGAGCTGTCACAACTTTGGTTAGAGCTCTACCATAGCATTAACCAGATACGGGTTTGGTTCGTTGCTGGAGCTGGTAAGTTTTCTGTGTTGTTTTGGATAGGTTGGTCTGTCTGTATTTCGGTTTCTAGAATGGTGTTTGTAGGGCTTTTCCACCACACAAGGTTTTTGCAAAGGGATAACATGTTAATAACATCTGTACAAGTACCTGGAAAGGAGGAAGGAAAGATGGCGGCGGCGGTGGTGATCTTTGGTATAGACCGTTGAATTTTACAGGGGACCAATAACGATGATTTTGATGGTGGTCTGAAGGTGTTATTTTTATGTTTGACTGCTTTCTATGGCTGCTCTGAGGTAGTTTGGTGGCCTTGGTTCCCCAGAAATTGGTTCGTCTCATTAAATCACATCAGAGGAGAAGTCACAGCAGGATGTGTTGGGGCAGGTAAGAGATAAGCCAGTACTGCCACAGATAACACCGCTCTCCAGTCCCTGGCTGCAGAGAAGACATCGACCTTCCAAATACTGCCTAGCACCTTTTAACTTCACTTAAATTCACATGGATTGTCCAGCATTCAGACATCAGCGTGAGTCTGGTTTCATTGACCAGTATGGAGTTAAGGATTGTGGATAACAAAATAAGAGAGTGTCGGACATAGAGCAGTTTGAACTGAAGCCAGTACCCGTTCTGTGTTCCAGAAATATAACAATGACTGGTGGATAGGAAGGCTGGTTAAGGAGGGCTGCGAGATTGGCTTTATTCCAAGCCCGCTTAGACTGGAGAATATCCGCATTCAACAGGAGCAGAAGAGAGGACGTTTCCATGGAGGGTAAGAATGCTGTAACCTTTTAAAATAATTGAAAATCATTTCTGACACCGGACAATATTTTCAAAGGTCACTTGATTCTTTTTTATTGCAGTGCATTTGGAGGAGTGTTTGATTTGGGATTCCAAATGAAAATACGTATTTGCCGAGAATAGACGTGTTAGATTTTGACTATGAGAAACAAGAAAAAAATGTGTATTGACTTTAGGAAAGATCAGTAATACAGTATGAGTGGTAATGATAGACATTTCTGAAGGGCTAAAGAGTTTTATGTCCCCATGGGTTTAAGTCAACTTGGTGCTCAAAGGCTGACGGAGTTTTTCCCCAACTGTTATGTTCTTAAGGTTGTGGGGTTTTTCTTTCTTTTTTTCTTTTTTTCTTTTTTTCTTTTTTTCTTTTTTTCTTTTTTTCTTTTTTTCTTTTTTTCTTTTTTTCTTTCTCTCCATTTTGGCCAAAACCAGACTTTTCAAACTTTATAAGATGAGCTTTGTCATTCAACTTAGTTTATTCTTCATGTTCCAGCCTGACCATTCTGTGTCTCCACGCTGCTAGAGCTGGAGATGGCGAGTCCCTGGAAAACTACAAACTTGGTCACAGGTCTAGGAAGTAAAACGGATTTCTCATATTCTCAGTTCAGGCACTGAAGTCACTCTTCTGTTGGCTGAATACACAAAATACTTTTTATCTTTTTTTTTAAATTACTTTACTACTAGTGTATTATTCCCACTAATTGAAAACGAAATTTAAATGTTCACACCGATAACAAGGAGAACAAAACCTTTAGTACTGCAGAGTAAAGAGACGTGAGCCAATTGAATCTGGACCTAATAGACAGCAGTAAGAGGAGCATAATTTAGCCTGTATGGTACTGTCAGGGAACTGGCATACTAATATACTTAATCGAGGTCAGGAATCATTTCAAGTATAAACCATCTGGGGAAATGTTTTTAGAATGATTGAACAGCATTAACTGTGCTTTTTCCAAATTGCCTTTATAATTTCCGAAATAGCTTCAGAGGAAGCCAGTGTGTCTCAATGTACAGAAAGAAGATTATCTGATTCAGAGATGGACACTAACAGAGTATTTAGGATACTGTTTCAGATACAGCATATTAGAAAAATTCTCTGCTTGTGTGAGTGAGCATGACTCCACCGAATCACCAATTCTTGCAAAGATTTTGTCTTATCTCACCTATGGAGAATATTAGGAATAAAATCAAGTATGAAAGAGACAAGGGAAACATAGTAAAGGATATCTATTGAGATTTTAAGTAGTCTGCACTAACACTCCTGGATTTGTATGGTAAAATTGGAAGTAATGTATAATGATAAAATAGTTTATTTTTGAGCACCTTTGTTAGATATGGTCATATAGTATCTGTACCTTAAGATTTCTTTAAAAACTGTGACTAGCTGTGATACTAAGGCTCTGTGTGATGAAGAAGAATTCTAGTTTTGTCCGAGTAAGGCAGTGAAAAGTCATCTATTAAAGAGGGTTTCTAGAGTCTAGTGTATGTTTGCAAAGGATTTGCCAAGTCCAGGAGTAAACAGTCGCTGCTCTGGAGAGCATACGGCAAGAAAGCAAGGACAAAATAGTGATTGGGACTAGTATCCCCTTGCCGGTCAGTCTGTATGTAGTGAAAAAATCCTCAATACTGTGCTAAAGGCGTGGATTGTACTGTGGGACTATGTCACCTGCAGTAATCAGGGTGCTTAAACAGTCCTCTTCTTTCTGCCCTGAGCTCTCCTTCCCTCCTCCCATCTCCTCCTCAGCTGCTTGTGCAATGAGCTGAATTCAAGAGCTGATTCACCTGAACATCTCCCCCCTCCCCAAACCAGTTTGCTGTTCCAGTCTGCTGCGGGTTTGTGCTGGGTGCATCACGTGGGGAGAGGAGGGCAGGGCACAGGGGCAGAACTGCATGGCTGGAAGCAGGGAGGTACGGGGCATGGAAAAAGGAGCTACTTAAACCAGTGTTACTACACAACAGAGCCTATTTAAACCACCAGTTATGATCCCAGCCCTCCCGAGAGATGTGTCTGGCTAGTTTTATGTATACTGGTGGAGACACCCAGCAAGAGAGAGGAGTGCTGGGTGGGGGATCTCGTGCAGAGCTGGTCTACGCGCCGAGTTTAGCAGATGTCGATGGCTAGAGCTGCTGCGTTTCCCTGCCTACGGGCAGATCCCAGAAAAGCTTCTCTCGGTCTGTAGTGGAACCTTCTTTCCCCCCGTAGCCTGTACGCAGCTCTTCCAGATGTGGAGGTCTACTTAATTGCAGACCCTTTGGTTTCCCCCTGTCCCTGCCTGGTACCCTTCGCCTCTCACTGCAGTGGAAGCTTTCTCACAGCACGGATGTGGGTGAAGACTTTCTCCTTTACCGTGTGATTTCTCATGGGGCAGTTTCTCATAGCTGCTGCGTAAAACCTCACACGTTTGCATCTCTGGGCACTCAGTGCTAATGGGGATCTTTCTGATACCATAGGAAATCGAGTGGAAATTCTTCTTCAAGTCTCGGAGAAATGGTTTCTGGCACATTTCGAGCCACACCCACTTCCACGGGTAAGACAGAATTTTATTTAAGGAAATTCTTGCTATTCCTAATACTTCTATTTTAAAAACCGTATATGAAAAGGCGGGTTTCCCCCCTTTCCTGACTTATTAAGACGTTCTACAGAAAAGTGCTTGCGTGCGGAGGTGGAGAAAGACATCTATTTCTAGGCATGCGGTAATTGCTAAGGGACTGGGAAAAATCTTGGGAAAAGTGGCAGCTGCCCCCAGAATGAAATGAATGACTGCTTTAAACAGGGCTGACCAAAAGGGAGGTCCACTGAGAGAAATGGAAAGTGCCTTGACAGAGGGATTGTTGTTTGCAAGTGTTGTGGTTGTTATACACAGTGTGTGTTTTTTAACCGAGTTCTCATTTGGTCTTTTAGCAAAACAGAAACAAAAAGTGGTAAGTAGTACTTTCATTTTCATTTTATTTAATTCTAATACATAATTCCCAGGATTTTCATGTGGATCTTCTTTGGTTAATGATCTGAAGGCTTGTTTTCTTCTTCTAGACAGAACACGTTCCCCCATATGATGTAGTACCATCAATGAGACCTGTTGTCTTGGTGGGTCCGTCACTGAAAGGCTATGAGGTATGTATTCCAGGGATTTGCAGTTAGTATTTTCTTACCTATAATCTTCCTTAATACATTCAGTGTGTGTGGTCCAGTGCAACTGTTCCACGATAATTCAAAGTGATCTTGGCTTAAATAATTGTCAAAAATGTTAAATAAGACCTAAGAGCATAGTAAGCACTGGCACCGTTTGGGTGAGGTCCCAGCTGAATTTTATTTTGCCTTGCAACAGTGTCTGTTACTTGTGATGCCTCAGCTGAAGAGTAGGTAACATAAGTACGTCTGTGCTCTCTTTGCAGTTTTACTGCTTTAAACAGTGCACGTCCATTGTTTTCAGTACAGTTATTCTTGATGAAACCCAGTAAGAAAAAGGGAATTTGTGTCTGCTACAAGAAAAAGTCAGAGCAGTCAAATTAACTAGCTAGACTTCTGTGTACATGTAAAATTTTAGCCAAACTAGCACATGCTTTGAACTTAATTAGCAAGAATTTTGAAGACGCTTCCCTGTTCTTCTCCTTTTTTCACTTATAAAAACTTTACATCTACCCATGAAACTCAGTGTTGGCAAATGAAGTAGCTGGACTATTGCAGCGTATTCAGCTTTGCTCTCCAGCACCTGAAGCTGAATATGGGAACCAAGGATCATTATTTCAGCATGTTTTCGTGACGTTTATTTTTTTTTTAAGATTATTAGTATGTTGAAATAGATATGTAAAGAAACCCTTAATCCTTCTAAATCATTTGCCTCTGTTCAACGTGGAAATAGGTATGGTAACAGGCACAGATAAACAGGACACCCATTTTTCAAGGCTGCTGCAGATTCAAATGAGCATTTAACACGTGCTAAACGAGCACAGGCTTTTAGCAGGGCATTTTAGTGAACTTAACCATCTGTTAAGTGTTTTGCTGAATTAGGATCTAAATGAACATGAACATAAAATCAAAGATACACTTCATTTAGCTTAATTAATGTTGTTAGTACTTTATAGGATATTATTAAACATATTGGAATGGTTCTTTTTGGAAGATTACAACATGGTACAACTATTAGCATAATGCAGTGTTCTGGCATTGGTTTTTTGTAAGAATGATTGAAAGTGTGGTTTAGCAGAGCAGGTACTTCATGTTCTACTCTGCCTTTTAATTTTATGGTGATGTTTCTTGACAGGAGTAAATTTCATTCATTGACGTCCATGGTGCTGTACCACACATTCATTTGCCTAGGGACTCTCAAGTTTGGAGGGGAGAGAGGCTGTTTGTTAATACATACCTCTACAAATATGCTGTCCTGCCTTTGTTGAAAAAAATAGTATTAAACGTGACATCTTGAACATATAGAGGTGTATAAATGGTAACACAGATAGAACACTAATTCCAATTACGAATAGTGGTCTACATAACAGAAACGCAGTGATCTTACTTTGCAACCTACATGGGAAAATTCTTTTGACTATTTTTTTTCTGACTAAATTCTGAAGGAACCATTTTGAAAGATAACCTACGAGAAATAAACTGCCAGAGGCCTGGGGGCTTTGATTAAGTTCCTGTCTAGACGGGCAGATAATAGGTGTCAGCCTGAGTTGTCCTGAAAAGGACAAGGAGCTCATTCAGTAAAGCAGATGAGAGCTGCTGGGGCTGAGCATCTCTCGGATGCTTCACCATGTACAGGAATGGAAGCATCCATTTTTTCTGCTTGTATGCCTCTCTGAGAATAGTTTTTCTCTTCTGTTAGCACAGTCATCCAACACGATAAATCTAGTATCTGAAATTTTAAGCCAGTTCTAATAGTGTTACTGTAGAAAAAACCCAAATTATCTGTTCAACCCGAATAGTCCCATATGCTTTTGACATGTTCTGAAGCCTGTTGGGAATGGTATTGCTGCGGAAGGTGGTGAGGTGTGCTCTAATGCTTCAGTGCAAGTCAAGACAAGAGCGGATTGAGTGACAGCTCTCACATCCTCCGTTCCGCATTTTGGAGAATGAGTCAGAAAACTTGCAAGTATTTATTAAAAAGCGTGCTGCCAAGAGCATGAAAATTAAATGGTTGCTACCTATAAAGGGTATTGATTGTTGGCAGTATCCTTACCTTCTACTTACCTCTTTTCTTACTTTTGACTTCTTTTTCTCCCTGTCAATCCTCCCTGTTCAATCTTCCTCACCTCTGCAAAGGTGACAGACATGATGCAGAAAGCTCTCTTTGACTTCCTGAAGCACAGGTTTGATGGGAGGTGAGAAATACTGTCCTTTTCATGCCTTTTTTTCCCTCATGTTACTAACATTTTAGTGATTTTTTTTTTTTTTTTAATTTAAAAAGATTGATGCATGTTCAAAACTGGTGACAGACATGATGCAGAAAGCTCTCTTTGACTTCCTGAAGCACAGGTTTGATGGGAGGTGAGAAATACTGTCCTTTTCATGCCTTTTTTTCCCTCATGTTACTATAACATTTTAGTGATTTTTTTTTTTTTTTAATGTAAGAAGATTGATGCATGTTCAAAACTGATTTACTGGCTTTGTATCAACACTGAAATGCAGCCAGGTGTGGAGTGGAACACAGCTAATTTATTACTAGAAGTGCATGTATCTCCTATGTCTGTAGTAGGATTTCGTAGGTTTAACAGAATAATTCCGCCTCAATGTCTTACCAGCCTGAAGTTACAGGAGAAATCTAGATGAAAAGTGACTGGGCCACATGGAAAGTGTCAAAATATCTTTAAAGACAGAGCCCGGCCCCTGGCTCGCTGCTGGCCCTCCTTCCTCCAGAGCTCCCGAGCCTCTGCTCTGCAGCCTGAGCTGACTGCGTGTTGGGTAAATTGAACTGAGTGGATGGCTTTCTTTTTCAAAGAGCTGTCTAGTTCTTTTCATGTCATGGAACAGCTGAGAAAGCATGACTGATTGCCTGTAAAAGTACGGTTTTATTCACAATCCTTTGGGCATATGAAAATTTCTTAACCGTTGGATACAAAAGTGCGTACTGCTGGACCAGCTCAGCCAGCCACTGAAGTGTGCAGACACCAAATAGAAGTGCCTCTTGATTTGATTTTGCTCTATTTGGGCTAGGTTCATTCCAGCACCATTTGTGAAGTTCCAGGCTCCTTTGCAGCAGCGTGTTCTCTAAATAAAACTAATCACACCCTAGCCCTGAAATAAGTACCAGAAACAGCAGATTTCAACAGGGTGCAGTAACGGTGCTTCAGACCAACACCTAAGGAAAAGCAACTCTTAAATATTCTCAGTAGTCAAAAATACTTAAAAAGGCAGCTTGAAGAAGGAAATGCTGAGAACTAAAATATAGAAAAAAGTGTGTCAGAACTTCAAAAATGGTAAGGAGGGTTCATCTTGTTCAGCTGGAACACAGGGAATATTTCCTGAGGAGCTGTGAGAAGGATAATTTGGATTTCTTTGCTAGGAACATAGGCTTGGACCATGGCATCTCTCCCTTTCCACTGGAGCTCGTCAGCAGCCGTAGGTGTCTGCTGCATCTTTGGGATGTTCTGCCCTGCCTTCATCCCAGTTTGTCCAGTATATTGTACCTGTGAAAAGGAGCTTATACTGTGCTAGCTAGTGTATAACAGTAAGTCAGGTTTGAAAATACCTAAATCATTGGCACTAGGACAGTGAAAATAACAGTGTCTGTTGTTTAGAAGATGGGGAGGAGGATTTATGGTCAAGGTACCTTTTGGGGTGCAGCGAGGAGATGGCAGTGCTGAACTAACCCAAAAACAGCTTAGACAAAACGTTTAATGATCAACTTCTGTGCAAAATATCTCATCTCCTCCCCTGTTTTTAATTGCCCAGCTCAAGTGATTTTAGCAGATTCTACCAACGTAGTGATTGATTTAAAACCTGACAGATGAAGCACTCTATGTGGCAGCCTGCAGTTAAATTTGTCATTTTTCTGAGCTGTTCGTGTGTCCTGTCAGTGCCTCCTCTTCCCGCTCTGAGCAGCGTGGCCGCTCCGGTGCCCATTCGCCTGAGGTGTAGGTACACAACCGCAGCGTATATTCTCTTCCAGCTGTTGGCCCCTACATCTGTCAGCTTTGCGTATGCCGGTGGTACCTGAGAGTCGCTGTTTTTAGGAGGAGACCGTGGCAACGGGCAGTGATAAGTCATCTCCAGTTGCCACGGTATGATTGCTATGAATATATCCTTCATGAGGTATATTTTTATACCCTGGATGAGAACGTACTCAGCAGAGGCCTGATCCACAAAGGTCAGCAGCACCTAAATACAGAGAAGAAAATGGAAAGCACACTTAGAGGTGCCCATTTCAGCTGCTTGATCTGGTGGGAGGCAGGACTGCTCCTTGCCTTGCTCTTCTGTCTTTTCCCCCACCGTGCCCTTGGTCTGCACAGAGGGACAAAAGGGAGAGATGCTGCCTGGAGTGAGGTATTTTTTTGGAAATCCTATGGCCATTAGCAATATTGGCCACTAGATCAGGTAGAAGTATGAAATTTCAGCATTGAAAAAGTTAAATGCCACAAGCAAGCTGATACAATTGACTTTAGCTCTGAATAACTTTAGAAAAATGAATTAAATTCCTTTTCAGGCACCTCAGCTGCTTCTTGGTCCTCCTGCCAACTCTTATGGCTTTGCAGTCTTTTCCTCCTCCCTTTTCTTTTTCTTTTCCTCCATCTCTTCTGCAATTTTGTGACAGGTCCACATTACCAAGAAGGAAAATGACTGGCCAAGGAGGAGCTTTTCAAAAGACTTCAGTAAGATTTGAACTAGCAGGACTCCTTCCCTACCTCTTAATACACTTGGCTTCTGTCAGCTCCTTCTTTTGTAACTGCAACATCCTTTTCTGGCTGAAGGAAAGGCCCGAGGGCTGTGTTGTGCCGGCCTGTTGAAAGGAGTCTGCTAAAGCTTGGCTGGCACAAGGCATTCAGGGAATGGCTGCTGGAGAGCCTCTAACAGCATCATTTTCTAAATGCATTGTGTTTAATCACTGTTGCGTAGACCAAGCCTGACTCTATACACCGTGTAAACAAAACATAGCACAGGCACATGTTTTTCTTAACATCTTTCAGCAACAGTGGTGTTTAGGATTACTTCTTACTCTGGAAGAATGAAATGCATCTTATATCTGGCACAGCAGGTGAGCGTTTGTGGTCCCTCCTCTGTTACGTGTCTCTGGTTCCAGGAGTCAGAGATGTAGGAGCTCCCTCAGCCAGAGGTGTGATCTGGACCACCGTGTTTTATCATCACCCCTAGACCCACGATCCACTAATTTCTCCCATTTCTTTTTTAAACTCATTTATGCTTTCGATCTCTACTGTATTTTCTGGCAATAAATTTATTTATGTATTATGTAGAAAAATACTTGCACTTCTTTTTAACCCTCCACCTGATAGTTTCACTTAGAGCTGCACGAGTCTTACGTTCTGTGGAATAGCTGCTAGTCATTTCCAGCTTGCTTTCTTTTCATTATTCGTGGCTCTTTGGCTCATCACAGTCCTCCGAAATGGATTTTACGTGAAGTGATTGTGTGGTCTTTGTTTTATAACCTTTTATCTCTTGTCAGCTCACTGACAGATCAAGTAAAAAAATTGCCCTCCTTAAGTTAAAGAGGAGGCTCCAGCAGTACAGATAGCTGTGGCTCAACTTACTTTTCTCCTCTTGGACCATGAGCCAAGTCGTTCAGCCCGTCGGCACGGCTCCCTGTCTGGAAAAGGCGAGTGCGTGTTGGAGGAGCAGTCTCCCAAAGCAAGCAGCTCTGTTCAGTGACTCACAGGCACTCAGATACGAGTGACATGGTCTGCTCCCATGTCCAGACATGGCCCTTCCTTACCGCTCAGCAACCTCAGGTTTAATCAACCGTTTAACTATCTGGGAAGAGAAGTGCTGTTACTGTTACAACTCTGTTGTTCTGTAAGACTCGCGTAACTTGTGGTATTTATGGTACTGTGTAAATTCTTGTAGGAGATGAGTGAGTTAGGGAGGAGAAAAGTTAACTAATGCATTAAATAGAATAGTCAGAAACTATATGCCAGAGTCTCTAATAGCATAGGGAATAGACAATGCTTTACAGTTCTGCAGCGTTTCTCTTTAGTTGTTCTTTAATGATGACATAACTCAGCTATAAAACATGTCTGAGTGGTATTTTATTGTCTTTGCACTTTGGAATGGAATGTAGCTGTAAATCATGCACAGTGCGCTGAAAATTTGACTACTGTGTTTTTGTTCTGTCCTGTGTTCTTACTCATAGGATATCAATAACTAGAGTGACAGCTGACATTTCTCTTGCTAAGAGGTCTGTTCTAAATAATCCGAGCAAGAGGGCAATAATTGAGCGGTCAAATACAAGATCCAGTTTAGGTAAGACATTGACACAGATGTAATTCTGAACATGGTTACGTACTGGAGGAAAGTGACAGGATTTCAGCCTTGAGGATGTCATCAGTTCTGCAATTTTAAAAGTGTCTACAGCATTTTAATGTATAATTCTGAATTTCACATACGCAAATGGGAGACACATTTTTCCTGGCTGAGGAGGGGCAACGGAGCACGGTGTACTGTGTTAGCCTTGCGTTAAGCAATTACCTGGGCTAGAGCAAGCGCTATTACAGCTGCTGTTTGTAAAGGATGAGTCAGGGGCCCGCAATCAGAATATGGGTTCAGTGCTGTTTCCTCCCAAGGTGAGTTGGCCTCACAGCTCCCTCTTCACAGCCCTGTGCTTTTAATTCCACATCACAAGGTGCCAAAGAGCTTTCACCTTGTCCAGCCAGGAAGGAAACATGTTGTTCTTGACCCTGGGACTGGTTTTGTATTTAATGTTGAACAGCTACAGCTTAATTTTGCTGTCTAGCCATGAGCTCTGGGTCTTCCCACCCTCTCCTCACAGTGTCACGACTGCCGGGTTACACTGGCCTGATGAATTTTTGTTTCTTTTGCAAGGGTGGAAATTTGTGTGTAGTATGTGCATGCCAATAACCTGGTCTCTGGGACAACTAGGAGGCAGGGGGAGTTGGTTTTTGGTCTTCTCAGGAAGAAAAGGCTCTTAAACCCACTTCTCCGACGTCCTGAGTGACTGTTTGAGCTAGCGGTCTAGGTCGTAGGACGCCTCACTTCTAGTTGGCATTCTAGTACAGGAGTAGGCACCGCAAAATTAAGTGCTGCAAAGGTGAGTACTAAATCTTCTTGTGCCTGTGAGCATGCGCTGCTCTGTGGAACAGCTCTTAGGCAAATTAAATGCATGTGAGTTGCTGACATACAGCTCTTTTGTGCTTCGGTGGTATAACTTACAGGCTTCAATTTGTGCTGAGTTTATCTATTTAAAACTCGTCACATGCATGTGAATGATTAAGAAGGGTCAGAACAATGAATATCGGAAATACAGTTTACATGGAAATAAATCTCTCCTTTTTCTTCAGACAAAAGTGCTTTGGTGTGACCATTGCCATTAGTGTCGTTTTAAATATTACCCTGTCAGTTATATAACAGAAACAATTTTTTTGTGATTATAGAATTAGGAGGTCACAGTTCTGCTTTTCATACAGACTCTTGTTTAAGTTAAATCAGAATTCCAGTCTGAGAACAAAAAAAAAGTTTTAGGAACTGTCCATACATCACTGGCTGTCGAAAAGAAAAAATCTTATGCCTCCTAAGCTATTTAGCAGACTTGGAAAATATGCTTAAGTCTATTTTGTGTTAACAGAAACATGCATTTAATTGTACCCAATGTTTAAATACACTGATATTATAAAGGAACATAGTACATATGTATTTTCAGGCAACAGAATTGTCTCAAAGGTAATATTTATTTTAAAAATTGCCTTAAATAATAGGTTATTTTATGGAAATTACATTAATTCACATATGGATTTCATATACTGAATGCATACATTCTGTGAAAATAAATGGGTGACGATATTTTTGTCTAAGTAATGCTGGGGTTGAATGGCTTTCACCTGTTTTGTTTTCCTTTACTAGCTGAAGTACAGAGTGAAATTGAAAGAATCTTTGAGCTGGCGAGGTCCTTACAACTGGTGGTCCTAGATGCAGACACTATCAATCACCCTGCACAACTTATCAAGACATCTTTAGCACCAATTATTGTCCATGTTAAAGTGTCTTCTCCGAAGGTAACGTATCTCACCCTTAAAATATGTGTGTTTGAGAGGGACCTGGAGGGCACTGTGGGAGTGAGCAGTGTGGTATCTGCACCTGAAGAAATTAAGAGTGAGACGAAGAGAAAAAAAGTAAAATTTTTAGATCCAGGGCTTGACAAGGGAATGTCTGACGCAATTTCTTTTTTCCGCCCTAAACCTTAACCTAGCCTTAGGCTGAGCCTTAGATGAGGCACCCACCAATTCAGTAGACAAAAAAAATTCCTGAGGATCAAATTCTTTCTGTAGCTCTCAGTTCCCCTTGGCCGTCCCTTTGCAGCCCCCCTACCCCACCGCAGCCGTAGTGCTGGGCTGTCTCTACAAACCGTAACCTTAGGCCGAGCTTCAGAGAAGACACCCAGCCCTTCGCCCACTTCCCGGGCAGTGAATGACGGTTGTCTGCTGGTCACAAACAAAGCCTGTCTGCTTTTCTCTGTGGCTTCCACCTGGGGCGTGTTGATACACCATCCACTCTGGGTCCACTGGGTCTGGACCAGTGTGGCCAGGCTGCTGGCCAGCTCCTGCCATGGGGCATGTATGCGACTGTTGCTCAGGAGTGCAGCATGGACCCCACCGCGACCACAGCTGTTCGTGCAGAAGGGGGCCTGGAGTCACGACAGAGACTCTGGCTCTCATGGAATGAGCACAGCGGCGGTGGGGTGCTGCCCAGCACCTGCTGGAGTCACCACCGTGGCACATCAGAGGTGTTTGCAGACAGCCATGCGTCAGTTCTTGGTGCAAGTGATGGGGGAGGTTCTGCTGGACCTGCTGCTGGGGGAGGAAAGGAAGGACTGGACAGAGTTGTGACGGTCCAGGACAGCCTTGGCTGCAGCAACCATGAGATGGTGGGATTGAACATCCTGAGAGAAGTGGGCAGTACAAATAACAGAATTGCAGACCTGGACTCAGCAGGATCCCATAAAAGACCGTCTTGGATAACAGACAGCTCAGCAGAACTGTGTGATCTTCATGGACAGCTTCCTCCAAGCACAAGAATGATCTGTTCCTCCATGGAGCTGGGTGGGACAGCAGTGTGGATGAACAGGGAACAGCCTGACCTCAAACACCAAGAGGAGGCCCACAGAAGATGAATGTGGGGACAGGCGTCCCAGGAGGAATACATCTTGGCGGGAAGCTAAGAAAGCCAGAGTTCAGCTGGAGCTAGAACTAGCAAGAGATCTTACGGGTAGCAAAAAGGGCTTCGGTGAGAACATGGCAAGCAGAAGGAAAGCTAAGAGAAGTGCGGGCCCGCTGCAGTGTGTGGCAGGGACCCACAGTAGCAGAAGGTTGATCTGGAGACAGCCTAACTAACTGGACATAGGCAAGACCAAGGGACCAGATGGGATTCATCTCAAGGAGCAGGCTCATGCCATCGCAGAGCTGCTTGCTATTACCTTTTAAAGCTCGTAGTGATCTGGGAAGGTTCCTGATCAGTGGGAAGAGACAGATGTCACATCCATTCTCAAGGAGGGTAAGAAGGAGGAACTACAAGACAGTCAGTCTCACCTCAGTCCCTGGGAAGGTTATGGAGCAAATCCTCTGGGAAGCTGTTCCCCAGCCACATGCAGGACAAGAAGGGGATTGGGAGCAGCCAGCAGGGATTTACCAAGGGCAAATCATGCCTGACCAGCCTGGCTGCCTTTTGTCATGAGACTATGACCCCAGTGGACAGAGGAGGAGCAGTGGCTGTTGTTAGTCTTTACTCTAGCAAGGCTTTGATGTGGTTTCCTTGTAGTATCCTGATGGGCAAATTGATGAGATATGGTCTGGATAAGTGTGGGCTCTAAGAGAGGTGGAAGATTGGATGGATTGCTGGGTTCAGGGTGCTGGTCAGAGGTACAAAGTCCAGCTGGTTACCAGTGGTGTCACTCAGGGATCTGCAATGGGGCCAGTACAGTTCAATGTTTTTGTTAATGACCTTTGTTGTGGACAATATCTAATTCTGGGGCAGGTTAAGGTGCCAGAGGGCAGGGCTGTCATTTAGAGGGACCTTGGCAGGCTGGAGAAACGAGGAACCTCTTGGAGGTCAGCAGATGCAAATACCAAGTCCTGCCTCTGGGCTGGAGCAGCCCCCTGCCCCAGGCCAGGCTGGGGCCGACTGGCGGGGGAGCAGCTCTGCAGCCAGGGACCTGGGGGTCTTGGCGGAGAAGAGTTTGGGCAGGAGTGAGCAGTGTGCCCTTGCAGCAGAGAGTCAGCCGCCTGTTGGGCTGTACGAGCGCCAGATGGGTCAGTCCTGGCTCGGAGAGGTGGTGGGATCTCCTTGGAAATGTTCAGAACTCAGCTGGACGAGGACCCGAGCAATCTGACGCAGCTGGCCTTGCCTTGAGTGAGGGGCTGGCACAGAGACCTCTAGAGGCCCTTGTGACTTAAAAAATACTGTGGTGGTCTATGGTTCCATCATTTTCTTTGAAACTTTACAGAGAAGTAATGTAGGATTCCTGACTTTTCTGCCCCTTAAATTCTAGTAATGAACGCAGTGGAAGAAAAAAAAAAAAAAGTAAGTTGAACTGTGTGTAAAATACCTTCTGTACCCAAAAGGCACCTCAGAACAGATGAAGTTACAGCGCTATTGCTGCACAACATAACATGCTGCTCCTGTTGGGCTGCAGTCAATCCAGCAATCCAGTATAATTCTGTATATATGTAATTTTTGTGGTCCTCTAGAAGATTACATTTCTCAAAAATAGCCTATTACTTCAAGTAGAATAAAGCAAAATCACCATTCGCGCTGCATTTGAAATATTTGCAAGGGATCAAACGTAATGCAGAGGGAAATGTGCATGGCTTTCAGGGAGGTTGTCAGAAAGGTTTGTGGTTATATTCAGGGACAATATTTTGTCCGTTTTATTAAACGTAATGGAGAGCTTCTGAACTTGGTAATCTTCCAGTGGGATGTCAGTCTGAGTTTTATGGAGATACGCGGTTCTTAAACTCATATTTTCCTCTTTTCCTCTGTCAGGTTTTGCAGCGACTGATTAAATCTAGAGGAAAGTCACAAAGTAAACACTTGAATGTTCAGTTGGTGGCAGCTGATAAACTTGCACAATGCCCACCAGTAAGTACAGAAGAAAGGCTAAAGAACTTGTGATACGTGGAGTTTTAAAGATTTCTGCTGTGTTGGTCCTTGATTACAGCTGAGTTCATACGTTATTACTTCACTTTATGGCGATTCAGACAGCCCTGCAATTGCAACCCTCGATCAGCTTTTATCGCTAAGAAACAAGCTGTTTGATACTTTCATCCTGATTATGTCCTGTGCTGGGTTTATTACGAACTTTGGCAAGGTGATGGGTGAAAAATGACACGTATGGTAAAACTGATCTACTAGCACATTAGCAAATTACGTCATTTGTGGAGCAGTGCTATCTTATGGTACCAAAGGGTCAAAGTCTCAGACTCCTGGTCTGAGAGGAGGCTGCAGAGGACTTTCCGTCAGCTGCATAGTGAGTCCGCACCCACCGTCTGTACGGTGCGAGTCGTGTGTCCGCACGCATGGGATCCCCGAGCCTCCTGGCGCTGGAAGCCATTCCAGTTACCTCATGGGAGCACAGTCCCTGCTCACCGACCGTTTTATCAAAGCTACTGATGACTCACCTCAAACAAGCCGCTGCTTAAGGAGCAGAGGTCCTGCATAGCTGATTAGGCAGGCAGATGCTGTGCGGAAAAGCTGTAGAGGTGTTCAGACAGGTTAGCTCAAACTTGCTTTCATTTTTGAAAACCACGCCTGGTTTCTGTGACTCAGTGGAAACAAACCTGGACGTGGACTTGCTTTTACAGCGTAATAGCTGTGCCTAACGTTGGTCTGGTAGCGCAGAGGGGGAACGATCAGGCAGTCCAGCCTATGGCTTGCTGCTTGCCCATCTTTCTCATGCCAAAGAACTGTGAGTAGAAATCAGATTAATTCAGAGAAATTCAGAATAGACACTGGGAGGGTTTCTGTCATCGTACTCTCTGACTTAAAATAGGCAAAGTGCTGACAAAAGAAATGTCTTGGAACAATCTAGGAACAAATCGGGGAGTTGAGATCAGCAAAACGAATGCCCAACCCTAATGGTCAGATAATGCTCCTGGAAGACTTTGCCTTGTGTTATGTAGACCTTAAAGAGATCACCTCCATTTCAGATTGCTTTTATTCTCAATTCAAAGGAAAGTAACAAAGGTGAAGCAGCTTTTGTTCTGGAGTAATGATCCGCAAGGATTTATTTCCATGAAACTTAACTTGGTTTTGTATGCTTCTTAAGATACCAAACTTCACAGCCTCCTCCTCTTGTCCCCACTGGCCATAAAAAGATAATTCAGGTATTTCTGGGCACTCCTCCTAAACGATAGCGATAGAGGTTGCTTTTAAACTGTTCTCGTTGGTAGGGATTGAGGCTGCGCCACATCTCCTTTAGGCCCGTGCTCTCATGCCCCTCAGATGTCCCAGAGCTGCTGTTGGTGGGAATGGTGGCACTCCACCCAGCGGAAAGGGAGGCCTGGAGAGAGCTTTCTCTTTCTCTTTCTCTGTCCTCTCCCCCACCGGCTGACCTTTTAGGTTAGCTCCTGCCATCAGGTAGACCTTGCCTAACTGCTAGCTGGTGTGCGGAGACTGCCAGGCTCGGCTGCACCGGGGCACCCGCCTTTGCCCGTCTGGAGGAGACCTCTGTGGCCTCGGGTCTGCCCCGCAATTCTGCCTTGGCTTAGCAAGGGAGTGGGGTAATCCCGCATGTACCGGTCGGCTTTCTGAAAAAACTGTTTCAAGCTGACGGACGCTGCTGGTGAGTTCAGGTTATGTTTGCTCAGTAGTTTCAGCCAGATACAAAATGAAGAATAATTAATGTGCATCTGTGAAAACATTGAATTTTGGCAGGTTTTTGTAGTGTTTTGGTGTATGTTCAGGTTAGATTCACACTGAAATGTTAGAAAACAGAGAAAAAAGGTAATAGACTTGACTGAAATTTCTGTCCTCCTTATCCAAAAGTGGAATGGTTTAAGAATGTGTTCAGAATGAGAAATCGGATTCACATTCCTCCTATACCTGATACAGAGCGAGAATTTAAATAATCCAGAAAAGTGCTGGTGGTGGTGTGTGCACGTGGAGGAGCGTATCTCTGTTTCTCCAGTTAAATACATTTTGTGCAGTGCCCACTACGCCCCGGACAGCTTGCCGCTCCCCTGCCGGGTCTGGGTTTCGCAGCCGCCCTCCTGCTGCCCGTCTTGCCCCATCAGCACCACTTGCAGCTGTCCGGCTGGCGACAGTGGCAGGCGGTGACCGCGTAGCCGTCCAGCTGGTGGTCTTACTGCAGAGACCTGTAAGCTTCTGGTCACAGTAACTGCAGATCGCTTTGCTCACTGTCTCACCCTTGTTTTTTGCTTCGAGCAGCACTGAAAGATGTTCGAGCCATCTCGAGTTCTTCTGGATAGCTCAGCTATATTATGTTTCTCACATGTAATTTTCTACTGACTTGTTATCTCTTAAAATGATGACGGAGAATTCCTTTGAGCCATTCAGGTCCTGTTAACTAAAACTAAATTGTACGCTTCTCTGTAGCACAAAATAATTTCTATAAAAGCACATACCTTCCTATCTCTTAATAGGTGCAAGCCAAGTTAAATGGACTTGCACCTGCACCTGTTTGAATACGGCTTGTATTTACACCGAGCTTACACACGGAACAATCCGCTGCACATTCTTCATGTTTGAAAGGTGTATTTATTTTTCCACCTGCACAGAGAAGCCTGTGCGTGTTTCACGGCCTTGTCTGCTCTTTATACAGTGATTTCCTCTTCTTCCACGTAGGTTTGCTCACATCAGTTGAAATGAGGCAAGTAGCTGCGTTGATTGCACTATGCAGCGCGCAGCAGCAGGATGCATGTTGTAGCTCGTTTGTTGCGTCGTGGCACTTAGATCGTCCATCACCAGGATCTGGTAAACTCTGCCTCAGTACCCAATCCTGTAATTGGGTTTTGTTGCCTAAGGCAACAAAGCGAGACCCCACCTTGATGAGAAAAATATTGCCAAATTACAGAGTATCCCGTTTTCAGACATGTAACCCTGCTGGCTCAGAGGCTGCCTTCCACAACAGCCTTCTGCACAAAACATCCGATCACTTTTGCACTGTTTGATTTCAACAAAGTTATTGCTGACTTAGAGCACGCAAAGGGAGATGACCATCTTGGTTAAGTTTAAATTAAAGGACCAAGTTGATCCATGATTTAATTAAGTAAAATATACTGCTAAGACCAAAGAGACTGCTGTCTGTCTGCTGCACTGCGACCTGCTTCATCTGTTTCACAGCTCAAATTCCTGCCAGAGGAGTATTTGTTTAAAGTGAAGATACTTGAAAACTGTAAAAACCTCACTTTTTTTCATTTGCTGAGAGCCAGCCTTAAGTAATCAGATGGTGCTGTATGTCTAGACATTTTAAAAATAGCTGCCTTTTTTGGCATATTGAAGTTCAGGAACTGCTTTCATTATTAATTCCTTGCTAATCTCTCACTGATGCTGCCCAAGCCAGCGCTAAGCCGCCTGAACATGAGCCAGCAGTGTGCTCAGGTGGCCAAGAGGGCCAATGGCATCCTGGCTTGTATCAGGAACAGTGTGGCCAGCAGGACCAGGGCAGGGATCGTCCCCCTGTGCTGGGCACTGGTGAGGCCGCCCCTCGAATGCTGTGCTCAGCGCTGGGCCCCTCACCCCAAGGCGGCCATGGAGGGGCTGGAGCGTGGCCAGAGCAGGGCAGCGAGGCTGGGGCAGGGGCTGGAGCCCAAGGCTGGGGAGGAGCGGCTGGGGGAGCTGGGGGTGCTCAGCCTGGAGAAGAGGAGGCTGAGGGGAGCCCTCATCGCTCTCTGCAACTGCCTGAAAGGAGAGCCGGGGCGGGGGGGTCGGTCTCTTCTCCCCAGGAACAAGCGCTGGGAGGGAACGGCCTCAAGCTGCGCCAGGGCAGGTTTGGGTTGGATATTAGGAAAAACTTCTTCCCCGAGAGGGTGGTCAAGCACTGGCGCAGGCTGCCCAGGGCAGTGGTTGAGTCTCCATCCCTGGAGGTATTTAAAGAACGGATAGATGTGGTGCTCGAGGACATGGTATAGATGGACTTGGCAGTGCTGGGTTAACAGTTGGACTCGATGGAAAAGACCCTTAAGATCAACCTTGACGATTCTCTGATTCTAAGTGTGCCTATCACTGCATGACTCTTCTAAGCAGGAACATCATGTGGCTCAAAGAAACATGAACTGTGCTAACCATGCAGCTTTAAATACACTAGTCAGGTACAGCTCATTATGATTATTCTGTTTAACTTTTGGATTCATGCCAATGCTAAGAGAGGGTACGTATCCCTCTGGTCAATTTGACCTAACCTAAAAAATACCAGAAATTATACTCCAGCAGAACTGAAGTGCATTGGTATAATTAAAAACAGCCAGTGCAGCAGATATATCTACGAGTTCAAATTCCTCCTCCTTCTCAGGTCCACCTCCGTCCTTGCAGTTCTGTCTGGGCCATCTTTTCCCCCAGAGCCTGAGCTCGCCTTCCCTGACCTCGGGGCGTAAGAGGCAGTTTGGGATTGCCCTTAGCTGTATGATGCCGGGCAGTGCCTGCGGCGCGGTCCCTCTCGCGCTCCCTCTCCCGAGCGTTCCTGTGGGCGAGGAGGATGCCTCCGTAGTCATGAGCGGTTTATTTTGTGTTGCTGGTGTGGGGTAATGCACCGAGAACATTTCGCCTTGGTTACACAGTAAACCAAAAGCAGTATCAGAGGACAGCGGCAACTCATTTTATCTTCTCTTCAGGAAAGACCACTGCTTTAATGTATATCACTTTAACGTATATCAAGAAATTACTAGGATATGGAAATGCTCATGTGATAACTATTTTACGCGTGTTGTAAGAAAACATTGCGGTGAATAAAATGCATTGTAAGGAGAGCTGGGAAGAAATGGCTTTACTCCGTGACCCTTACAAACAAGGATCTCCTGGAAGGTCCTTTCCTCCCAAATACATAGCACTAGAACAAACACAGTTTAGCTATGAGCAGAACTGTTAAATGCAAGAAAAAAAACGGAGTGCTTTCTCTGTCATTTATTTTCCCTGTAAAACGCTGTAGAGCCCTGGCATCAGGATCCTGTCAGTTTTGCAGCTTTTCCAGGTGACCTTCAAGTGAGAGAGGCTCCCCGTTACCGGTCCTAGTGTCACCTTACAGTTAACTGTTAAAAAGGCGACAGCTCTACTGCAACTATTAAAAGTTCTTCTTCCCTAAATTCTGTTTAATTGAGATCGCTGTCAGAATACCCCATGAAGCTACACGCCGTGACAGAACTGGGTGGTTTAGCTATGTTAGCTCGAGGGTTAGCTGTGCATTTCTTAGACGTGCCCGAAGCTGTTACGCCGTTACAAAAGGAAGCCGTAGGCAGCAGGACCGGCGTTCCCGTCGCTGATCTTTGTCTTACCTCCACCTTGCAGCACGTTTAGTTATGCCAGTGCAGCATTCTGTGAGCTCCCCGAATCAACTGACCCAGGTTAAAAAGAAACTGGAGAAGCAGTTCCCTGTTTAGCAGGAGGAGGTTGGAAGGTGTGGGAGAGCTTTCCTGGACCTGCCTGCTCCGTACAGCTGAGGAGACGCCTTGGGACGGAATTCCCTTGCAAGCCGCAGAGCCGGGTTCCGTACAGGCACCAGAGCTGCCCTCAGATCAGCGGCCAGCTGTGCAAAGAATGGGCAGCGCAGGGAAACTGCTTTCTAGGCTCAGACCAGAAGATGACAATATTCATTCTTTATTTAAGAAAACACCTATTGTATTCCAAGTGCAATATTTCAATTCCAATATTTTCCAAAGCAAGGCATATGTAAGCAAACCACATCCTTCTATTTCCTAATTTGCCTATGTTTGAATTACTAACTTCTCCCACAAACGATGATGCGAGTGATATAATGGAATACGTAGTGGATCAACGTGTGTTTAAATGGCAAAGGAGGGTGTAAAGGGTATAGATAAATAGAGGAGCAAAACAAGCAGCAATAAGCACTGCATTCAACCAAAGGAGGTAGTGTTAGGAGTATTCTTAGTAGAAGAAAACTCCATGCTTCCTGGCAGAGGAGGAAACGTTCCTCTACCATGCCGATAAGGGAAGATAAAGTAAAAAATAAATAAAATGGCTTTAGTATTAAAGTAAGTTCTGGACCGGACTTTTGGGCAGAATGTAGACGCATCATCAGGATTTACGATAGCTTCATCATGCAGTTCTAGATCGTATTCTGTAGACATCAGCTCTGTATCTTGGTTAGATCTATAAATAGGCAGGGAGGAGAAGCAGCCTGTGGTTTGTATCAGTTACTCTTAACACCTGCAGCACCTGCACTTATTTTTCATTTCCTGTGCTATTTTCACAATGCTTTTTTTCCACTAAGGCGTGAGTTAAGATGAAAGATGAGGTACGAAATTTCACTGCTGAAAATACATCTATATTTCTCTTGAGGGACTCGGTTTCTGATGGTTTGTTATCAGCTGTTTGTTATCAGCACTTGTCATGCTGATAATCTAAGAGCCTTGTCTGCAGAGTGTCCCTTTGACTTCTTGGGTAGCACAGAAGCCGCGTGGCTTTGAATTCCTTCCACGTTCACTGGTACGCGGCCTCCGTGGATCGCATGGCCAGCAGGTCTGGGGCAAGTACCAGGGCTTGCACCAACGGTCAGGTCCTGGCCCCTGGTAGAGGGGTTGCTAGGGAAGAAGGTGGTACCTGCCTGGTCTTGCAGGTTTGGGAACAGGTAGGTCAGGCTCTCCAGATAGGCCTAAGCGAAGGTAGTTAAAAAACGGTGCATGGAGATGGTCTCTGAAGGATTCCCAGCTGTCGTGTCTGAACGGCTGGATGTCCTGCAGGAGCCTTGCCTGAGCAGAAGTACTGCTGCCAACAGAACCGCACGCGGCGTTCACTGAGGTGGGAGTGCTCTCGGGGCATCCTGCACCCTGGAAACACGTTAGGATGAGAGAAGCCCGCGTGAGTCCTTGGGTCCAGACGCAATGCAAAGCACCCCTGTGTCACTGACGTCCAGCTTCAGTTCCTGCCTTAGAGCAAAATAAACGCAGCCTTGTGCCTTTGAGCCTGGCAGGGCTCACGCAACGTCTAGTGAGCCTCGCTGAAGGGGTGCAGGGACTCCTGGGAGCTTTGGCTTTGGATCGCCTTATCACCTCCCTTGGGTAATTTTCTTTTGCAATCCCGTGCTCTGATTCTTCTTTATTGAATTGTAAAGGATTAGCGCGATGAGAATTGTTTAACATCTCTTTCTTTTCATCTGTAACGTTGTAACGAAGCAAACTTTGTTGTTGTGATCAGGAAATGTTTGATGTAATTTTGGATGAAAATCAGCTTGAAGATGCTTGCGAACACTTGGCAGAATATCTTGAGGCATACTGGCGTGCTACTCACACCACCAGTAGCACACCCATGACTCCTCTCCTGGGGCGAAATTTAGGATCCACTGCACTTTCACCATATCCTGCTGCAATCTCTGGATTACAGGTATGCAAACACATTCCAGCCCCAAACACCAGCGCAGATCAGGTGGGGTTTTTTTTATCTGTGGGCAAATAGTGTAATCTGTTTTATATAGCATAACTTCTGTTTGCTTCCTTAGTTGTTATTATGCACTGTTTGGCCACTGCCAGCAGTAAGAAGGCAAGCTAAGGCCCCTAGTCCCTGAAGAGGCAGTTAGGCGGCTGGGTGCTGAAGCACCGTGACTGCTCTTGCTTTAATGGGAAGTAAAATGGCCACGAGTGGGTTCCTGAGGACGCGTTACGTGCGGCTCTGGCAAGTGGTACTGCAGCCGTATTAGGAAACGGCCTTTTTTTAATCTGGAAAAAATGTCGTTGCAGATGGGACCCTGTCAGGTTGCGAATAAGCATGTGCAGCATGTCAGAGCAGCTGAGCTAACAGCTACTGTATTTAAGAACGCAGCACAGTGTCTGTAATGATCCCGTTATTTCTACCCCCATAACTTCACAAAACATTCACTTTTGGGTGAAAAACCTCCGTGCTTGTCTCTTGTATCAGCAAAATGCCTTCACCTTTTTGAGTTCTTTGAGTGTGAATAAAATACATTTTTTTTTTACCCATTGAAAAAAATTCTGACCATTTTTTTCCACAGGGATAGCTCAAAAACGGCTGAACTTTGAAACTTCAAACGTGGCATGTAAATAGTCCTTAATGAGAAGTACGTGCTTTACTAAGTTTGAAAACAGAAAATGTTTTTGATTAATAGTTACGAATGCTTGAGAAGATCAGGATTGCAGCACACTTTTAAGCCTGAAAGTTCCAGGAGGAGTTCTGTATGCGTGTGACTTTCTAGCAGTGTGCACTTTCTAATGTACGTCAAAAGTCGAGTTGAGCAGATTATATTTAATGAATAATTCACCTGACAAATTTAACCTCTCTTCTGCTTGTAGAGTATCTGGAAGCAGGTAACGGTTTTGAAGGAAACGATGCATTGTTCGGTGTTTTCAATTAACATAAAGCTGGTTTTGCTGTGAGTGAGTCGCACTTCGCTGAAGGTGCATGACCCTTGATACTCACATTTCTAATGCCGTGCTTGATTTTATTAGGCTCAGTAAGCCACTGTTTCCTGACTGGCTGAATGCACAAGCACTGTTCTATTACTAATAACATGCCCATGTAAACTGTTGTTTCCATTTTCACTTGCCTTAAAATTTCAGTTTTCCATCCCTTCATGACAATAAAATACCATCTGCAGAACTTTCACCTCTTCGGTTTCATTTTGAAAACTGGGTGTATCCACAGAATTTTTTTCAGGCATTTATTTCTCTCTGATCAATGGACACCAGCAGTAACTGTGAAATGTTGCTCCATTTACTTAGGGAAAACTCACACTGAAGATGAAAATCACCCCTGTGCAGTGGGCTGGCTGAAGGTACGCATCACGTAATCCCCACTTCACCCGAATTGTGAAGGCTTAGGTGGGACTTGAATGGTGCTAGTTCTCTGCAGAGGGGTAAATTTCTCCCTGAGCAAATGATGCCCACCTAGAGACTGCAGGGTTTGGCCTTCAGTGCCACGCAAGCGTTCAGGCCCGGTTAAGGATTTCTGATGTCGTACGTGGTTATCTCGCAGTGAAGGCTTCCACCATCTGAAGTGCTTATCCACCGAGAGGAAGGATTTGCATCAGTTTTAACTGTAATGATGCGGTATGGTAATTATGAGGCACTCAGGCGAATCCTAGGAATTAAGCTAGCTTAGGTGCTTGTGATATTTTAAGAATTTATACTTCTCATGACCTTGGGACTCCTTCTCGCCTGATGCCTTGGGGAACTGAGCACCGAAAGCCCAGAGCCTCGTGTCGCAGTCACACCTGAGAACGATACAGATTTGCTGGGACCATCTGTACGTACCTCACTGCATCAGGACTTGGGAGTATCCCGTTTTCACTTGATTGTGGCTTGGATGTCAGAGAATTGAAACTTCAGATTTAACTTCAGTCTTTGGGCTTCAGGAAGGTCATCGGGGTGAAGTTAAAAGGCACAGATAGAGGAGAGGCAGCGTGAAGGAGAGGGTGTACGGGACAGCGTGCTCCCGCTGTGTCCCGTCACACGGGGCGTGGTGCATCTGCCAGGGCCGGTGGTCGTTTGGTCCTTGGTCATGACCTTGCCCAGAAGGGGAAGACGTCGATGTTGAGCTCTGTGTGTTTGCAGGCCTCAATAGGAAGAGTAAATTTTGTCATTGCTAACACCTAGGGGCCGCTCGTTTGCCTTTGTGGCTAATCCCTGGTTAGCTCTAAACCTGCATAGTTTAGTCTAATTTCAGCGAATGGACTTAAATCCTATAGTTAGCTTTTGGGGATGTGCGTTCCTTACGCTCCAGGGGATTTGCGTTTTAAGTCCATTACTGCAGAAAACGTAACGCCGCTTATCATTCCAATGGCGCTGCCGGATCGAAAGTTACTTGGGGCGTAAGACCAGCATAGAACCACACCGGTTTTGTGCCACGCTTACGCCTCTCGGGAGGTAAGCAGCGGGATCAGAGTGACTGCACGGGCGAGGCGGGGAAGCGGGACGGTTTCTAGAAAGGAGCAGGTTGCAGGCAGAGGTAAATTGCTACAGGGAAGACAGAGGGTGTGAGCACAGAAAGTTGAGGTTGCAATTGATTGGGTGATTATATATCCAAATTGCATGCCCCGGTCAAATAAATCTGAGAAGTGTAATTTGTGAAGAAAATACGTGGATTTTGACATATAATCACTACTAAGACACGATGCTATAAGGAAAACTTGGGGATAAGGTGGTGGCAGTTGCTGCCCAGTAGCTGAGCGTGTGAATTTGCAGAAGGGCGCCTTCTCCGTGCCAGCTCGTTAGGTGGAGTCTGAGTGAGGAACCCTGGTAGCATCGATCCACAGAAGGAGATGCGGCATCCTATCTGCTGTGCTGTAAACGTGTGCCCACCTGCACAGTTGCCGCCCCGGGCAGGCGAGCCTTTTGTGGTAAGGGATGGAGCTGACCAGCCGCCCTACGGGGAGGGCCTGGCAGGAGGAGGAAGGTTTTATCGCACGGCGAGCATCCGCCAGAATTTCAGAACCGAGAGGAGCGGAGGGCGCTGTCTGTGCGCGGGAACCGGAGGCCACGAGAGCGCGACCGTTGCGGCAGCGTTCTCTTGGCCATTGCAGGATGGGAAGGATGACACTGGGTGTGTCGTCTGGAGAAGGAAAAGTACTGACCGAGCATGTTCAGAGGGTATGGATGGCTGTGCTCTTGAGAGGTTTACGGTGTGATGACAGCAAACAAAATATTTTTTTAGGCTATTTCTTCATTGTCCCAGTTGACTGCCAAAAAGTATGAACTAATTTTGTTCTGTGACAAATGTAGCCCATCATCGTTATGGGAACGTGAGGATAGCAAAGGCGAAAGCTTTTAATTAATAAATTATCTTAGAAAAGGATTTTCTGTCAACGTATTTAAAATATTTATTATGTTTCAGTGGAAAGAATTTGTTAACATCTAATAATTTTAGCCACCCCTTAGCTGCCTGGTTAGCAGTCCGTCATTTTTTTGGTCATATGAAGGTTTTTAAATAGGGCTCAGAGCTGCACCTTTTAAAAAAAAATACAACAAACATCTGCAGATGTTTTCTAAAACCACATAAACCAATGCTCAAAATTTTCTAAGCGGAATAGAAGCATGAATGTTATGTTCATGATCAGAGAAAAGTGATAAATGCTGAATACATCAGCTCACTTTTCATGCTAAATGGTCTGTAATACGTACCGAGGTGAATACCGTAAGGTACACGGTGTAATACTGCGTTCGGTCCGCTTTCAGCTCTAGGAACCAGACTATTCTTGTAACCCATTCCTGTAGCTACAGACTTTAATATAAAATGAGTAACACAAAAGTGGATGGATTCTGAAAGACCTCAGAATAAGTCTCAAAACAGGCTAAAAAATGTGAAATACTCTTTGTCTGTATTAATGCTTGGCTTCTTTGGCACCCGTAGAGCCAGCGTATGAGGCACAGCAGCCATTCTACAGAGAACTCTCCAATTGAGCGACGAAGTCTAATGACCTTAGCAGGAACCGCTTGGCTTCCAGTTCCCAACACAGCCGAGATCACTATCCTCTAGTGGAAGAAGAATACTCTGACTCATACCAGGACACTTACAAACCCCATCGGAACCGAGGATCCCCTGGAGGATACAGCCATGATTCACGACACAGGCTTTGAGTTCAAGAACCTGGGGAAAAATAGTATCCATCAGTTGATAACTTGCCATAACGTAGCTAGGAAAAAAAAAAAAAAAATCATCTGAATTTGGCAGATGTAACGCGGTTATACTGAAGTTGCACTCTGCTGTCATTTGATGTTAAGTAGGGGGCAAAAAAAAGTTGCCATGCCCTTACGTTTCTGCCCGATCACAGAGGTTGGTTTTGGGATTTATTTTTTTTTTTTAGTACAGCATTTGCATTTATAGCCATACTTTTTCTTGTCGTTAGATATTAGACACATCCGTTTGTAATTTAGGGTACTTATCAAGGCACTTATGAAATAATTTCCTGTGCTGGAAATTCCAAATGACCAGTTCCAGTTGGAACCAATTTATAAACCAATTCCTGTTGGAATTTGGGTGAACTGACTGGAAAGTCGACTTGAGCATGTTGCAATCAATTGAAAAACAATACAAATGAAAAATCTGAAAATTACAAACCACTAGAAGCCAGAAAGTCAGCTACAGTATTTGTTTGCTGGAAGCTCAATTTACATTTCAAGTTAGAATAAAAGGATTTATTCTAACTACTTATTTCCAGAATGGCTTTTTCAGACAAACCAAATGTAAACTACTGAGAGTGCCAAATATCACAAATTATTGCAGCAGTTACAAAATACTTTCCAGTTTGAAATTATTTTTAGACCTGGCATGAACGTTGCAGCGAAACGATTCCTTTAGTTTAGCCAGTACTGACATTTTTGTTGCGGTCAGCGATGATGAGCTATGACAGGATCAGGGGAAGGAGAAACAGGAGAATGAACAAACTCCAGAATGGTTTGTAAGGTTAGAGGTCGAGAACAGTCTTTTTTTTTTCCTCTCGTTTACCTGAATACAGCTAGTAGTCCCAAAATGGAACATCGGTGTATAGATACATAATATTTTTTCTCCCATTTTTAGTATTCTGCCTTTTTAAATGGAAAACAATACTCTCTCCTTACCCAGTGTGCAGAGTACCTACCTTCCAGTACGTCTGAGTACCTGCCCATGTGTTACGTCTTTCAAAATCCATCTTTGAATGTCTGAAAATTCCAGCATCGCACAAGAACTCTCCAGAAGATCAGTTTAAATTTCAGTAATGAAATCTGAGGGAAGGGGGCAGGGCTAAATACTCGTCAGTGGTGACCATTTAAAATAACATATTGGTCAGAATTAGCTTGCAATAAAAATGGGGTATCAGAACAAAGTCTGCTCACGGTAAAGTCGTCGAGCTGACGTTTTTGATTCGAAGAACTATGATAAATCTTTGGAGATATCGCTGCCTTGCTTCCTAACAATCGCTTCTTTTCACCGACTGAGTCTCCAGTTTCTTTAAACAGATAAATTTCTGTTGAAGACTTTATGTCTTACCTGATCAGTGAAGCCTTAGATCCAATGTGGTTGAACACTTTACCGTAGTTGACCGTTTTGTACAACCCGCTAACGTCTTTAAGCAGAGACTCCTGAAATCCCCCACTGCATGCCTTTTCTAAAATCGACCGAACTACGCTGAACGTGCATTTTTTGAATGCAGGTTCAGGTCAAAATTATTTTTTCAAAAATGAGGATCATTAACTTTTGTATTTGCTTATTTTCTTCCCACAGCCTGCTAAACGTAGGCTTTAAAAGCATGTAGCGCTAAATGAATTTCCTGAATATTACGGTTTCTTCTCCTTTCTGGACCAGTTAGCAAAGATCACTGGTATTCTCCACCACCGTTGAGTCTGGTTATCTTCTTGATGTTAACAATGAGAAAAGTAATTCATCTCCTATCTGGTACAGCCGAAAATGATGTACATCTCTAGCAGCATTACAAGATTGCGGATGCATGATTAATTTTTTAAACAAGTTCGCTGCCTAAGGGGCAGCCTTCAGCACCGCGAGATGATTCGAATGGGCCGGTTACCAAGAAAAAAAATGAAAATATCTGCATCCATTGGAGTACGGAGTTGAGAATGGATACGACAGGCCTGATCCTGTTGGATGTTCTCAGGCTGAATGCCTGCAGATTCCGCGGGAGCATTTAGGCTGAGAAAGCACAGCAAGATCTGGCCTGGGAACGGTAGCTTCAGCTGCCTTCTCGAACATTTTCTGCTATAGCACAGTGGAGCATTCTCCAGTAATTTCTACGAATCTTTGTTACGTGTACAGCACACATACCTGCATGAGAAAGAAGGCATTAGGCAAAACATTTTTTCTATAAGCTTTAATAAGTTTCTTGTTTGTGTGCATTAAAGTATTAATTGCAAAGGATGCACTGAGATGTATAAACCTAGACTAGACAGCTGTTTATCTTTATTCTGTAGTAGCATTAGGGATCAGATCATTTAACTGCTTGAAGATATTTGCATTTTAATGGCAGGTAGCTGCAAAGCACCTACGTATATTTTCTAGTAAACAAGGTTACTGCTTTATCATTTCCTAGAGAAAAATGTCATTTATTTCTAGAGCCTTTTGGAGCCTTGTTTTTAAGTCTTCCATGTCATGCTAGTAAAGGGAAGGATCTGCACAACACACATGCACAAATTCCATCACCTGCAGCATCTGAAGTGCCAAACCGACTTTGTTTGTTCTAACAAAAACGAGCTTGCGAGGGAAGTCCTGTATTGTCTTGAGCGAACACATTGAGTTCCTTTATTATGTGGGTTTAAGTTTACTTTACTCGTGTACGTAATTAGTTTACCCTCTCCTCGCCCACTGCCCATTCCATTTTAATATAAGAAAACAGTTCTAAGTGACCCGGCAGGTCTCCTTGCTTGCTGGGGTTTTTTTATTCTTTGAAGACAGATATATCTTTAAGTACAAATAGACCGAACACGCTAATAGATGATTAATTTATTCTAGGTAGGAGCTACGGGAACTCTTTATTTTAAAAAGTAAATTATTTTTAGGAAACACGGTAATCAGTAAAAGCTGCGATGTTGATCAGGACGTGTTAACTCATAGTATTTGCATTAGAACTTCAGCAATGCTAGCCAGCTGTATTGTGATTTATTATGCAATGGCGCTATATAACATCGTGAAGTTCATGTATTCCTGAATGAATACGAGTAAGACTAGTTTTCCAGTCCTCATACCGTTCCTTCTTGTTAGTAAAATATTATTAAAGATCAGAGTTCTGTTCCTAAGCTCGGGCTTATACAGAGGATTTTTAGAAATGTTTATTAACACTTTTTTGTTGTTGTTGTTATCTGAGGTTTTCATCAGGCCACTTTTGGATTAATGACAATTTAGCCAATAAAGGTGATAACAACAGTCTTAATATCAAAAGACAGTCTATGTCAGTGCATTCATATGTTTGTGAATGAGTTAACAAGGTGTTCTAAAAATCTTGAAGCCCCTTTAAAGACAATTGATGGTTAAACTTTTCATTTAAAATACTTTCTCTTTGGCAAGTTGTAGTAAACAGATGTACGGGCTCTTTTACTAGTTCCACAGACGCACGTTTATCCCATGGGCTGCGCAACTCACAACTGATCATGTTTCCTAACTGAGTGCATTACGAAATTATGTTTAAAGGAATGCAGCTAAAGCTGTTCTACATCAAATTTTAGTTTATAAACAGCGGGCCAAATGAGATGATCGTTTTCCAAACAGGTCGGTCTGGCAAAACTCAGTTCCTCTGCTTGAGAACTGACAGTGCGGTATGGCCCGACACCTAGATTTTACCCTGAAAAATCACCTTGCCATGGAAATGAGGTGGCGCCCCTGATTTTGTACTTGATAAGCAAGAGCAGGTTCTGCAGCAAGCGCCGGTGTCGCTTCCTGTCACCTTCCTTCGCCGCCGCCGGGCGCTCAGCCTGCTTCCGATACCCCGTCTTTTTGACTTGGCTCTGACGGACCCGGATAAATGGGGTGCGCCTGGGATCGGAGGTGGCTCTGTGACCGGTGATCGTACTCGCAGTGTCTGCATTGGGTTCGCTGCAAACAGAAAAACGTTTTACTGTGTTTTCTCCAGGTTTGAAAGCTGCTTCTGAAGTTGATATTTGGGGGGTTAATCTTTTGTGCTCCTTGCTTTTACAATAACGTTTAATAGGTACTTAAGAGGGTGAAAATTACAAAAAGGAGGAAGGGTAGCTGTAGGAGCGACAAGATGACGGTAGTTCCTCTGGAGGCGCGTAGGCCCCTAACTTCAAGTTCAGTCTGACTGCAAATCTTCCTGATTCAGTTTGGTCTCAGTACCGTAGACTTCTCTGAAACGTCCCAGAATCTCGTATCTTTACTGACATTGCCAGTCTCAAAATAATACTGCTAATACTACTACTTCATAGCACACTGATTTGGGTAAGTTAGGGCTTTCACAAGTCATTTTTTCTTTAAGAATGTATTAAATGTGTCCTCTGCTCTATTTTGTTTTCCAAGTTCAGTGCTTATGAAGCCTCTCCTTGATTCCACAGTCTTCATTTTTTCTAAAGCAAAAATAATTGGAGACCACAAAAGAAAAAAAAATCAAATGCATATTTTGTAAAATACCATTTATACAAATCTGGTTTCACTCCTAAAATTCTGTATTTTCAAATGGGGTTGTATTACCCCAGTTGGTATTAATACAGGTTTGGGTACGTGGGGTTCTGCGATCGTCTGTTTTGTTGCAGTTACCCCATTCCTTCAAATAGCGTCCCACAAAGAGTAGCAAGGCTGCAAGATGCTGTCCTGTAGGCAGTTCTAACTCGGGGGGCATTAAGTTCCACTGTCTTTAAAACGATGCCAAAAGAGTATATTATTTGAAGAGTCGTCAGTTGAATAGCCTTTGTTAGATTGTTACTCAAGTCCAGTTTATTTTATATAGAAAAATAAAGGTATGTCTTTAAAACTAAAGGGACATTTTAATAATGTTGTAAAATATATATAAGGAATTAACTTGGAGAAAGAGCTAAAGATGCTACTTAGTATTGAAATTTGCGTTCAGATCTCTTTATTTGTGGAATCCATTTAAGAAGTCAAGGGAAATATTGTAACTGAATCCATACAGAGAATTTTGGGAGAAGGGAGAAGTCATTTAGAAAGTTAATAAGAGTGTGTCATTCCTTTATTCCCTTGGAAGTGGGGAAAGCGGGAGGAGCATTGGCTTGGTCTGGGTGGCGTTTGGCAGACCTGCCTTCCCCCTCAGATTGCGTGGCAGCGGGTTACCGGCCGGACGAGAGCGTACAGCCACCCGCTGCTGGATGCAGCCTTTGCGTCAGTATTTGCACGGTCTGACCGTAAATGTCACACGCCGACGATCGTATGCCTTGTCAGTATTTCCTGAAGAACGAAATGCAATTCAATTTAACGCCACAGTCCCCTTTGATACTAATTCTACTCTGTATAAGCAGTAGAAAATTCACATAGTGAGAAAATATATTGTACAGTACAGAATAATATATTTTGCCAATGCTCTAAAAACAGAGCAAGGAAAAAGAAGCACATTTGTAATAGCAC